ATATATATATATATAGGTCCAGAGAGAGTCATTAATGATTTTTGATATTAAGTCATGAAGTTCTTCACTATGAATTTTGTATTGTCTTATGCAAGGAGTGAAGTGTGAGTGTGCTAATGTATCCAAAGTGTGAAGAGGCTTGAGTGTAGTGTAATTTGTAATATTCTCCTCACTTTTGCTATATTATAGATTTCTTGGGGAGATGTGGTTTCGTGAATTTTTCTCGTTCTTAGGTTTTTTTCACATTAAATGTTTGTTTCTGCGTTTTCTTATTTTGGGCACTTCTGTTCAAAGTTTTGATTCGAATTTCTTGAATTGATTTCTGTTATTGACCTATAGATGAATCTAATGCTCTTATTGATTTGGAAGGATATCGAAAATCTAATCATTTTTCCACAAAATGCTTCATGATCATTCAGGCCTTGTCATTCTTTATTTGTCTGCTTCAGAGACTCAAATCTTGAGAAGAAGTTATTTGAGTTTGATCTTAGAGATCATCATGCTTGGCTGGCCCAAGGAGATTTGTCGATGAGGCAACAACATAGAAATTTGCCATCTTTCAATATGAGTTTAAGATTCTCATTGGAAGCTAATGGCTTCAAAAATTAGCATCAAATAATCAATAACTACTTTTTGATTTTTGCCATAAAGAGAACCCTTAAGTATTAAACTCTCTACCTAGTCCTATATTTGAGCTCTTTCAAATGTTTATTGTTATAATGCTTTTAAAAATGTTCAAGGACTCAAAGCATTCATTCTCTTTGTGGTAACATTTATATCTCCATAAGCCTTTTAAGCAGCAACATTTGAAATTTTGAAAGGCTTCCACAATTGTCATCTTGCTCAATAAAGGGCCATGTTTTCTTTGACCTTCATTTTGTTTGATCTTCACATTCTTCCATGGAGGCATCTTCGTTGGCATAAGCTTCTTTGTAGATAGTGATGATCTTCATTTCACAAATTACTTACTGATATGAAAATTAAATACATAAATTTTATGAATTGAATAGAGTCAATTTTTTTATCAAATCTAAGTCACCATGATTCAATTAGATTTTTCTTTTTTTTTTTAATTCTCCTAGTATTATTGTGTTCTTAGAAAGGACAATAGAATAAGTAAACTAATGTATACCCATACATGTATGGATTAGGTTAATCAAATCATTATGAAAATATCAACCAATTTCAACATGTTGATGAATGAACCGACATGAACTACTTACAACTTAAGACTTCATCAAGCTTTAATTCTACATGACTTTCAAAGCCTTAAGTAGCCCAAGATGAAACACATCAATTTGCCTAATAATCAACCTTAACTCATCCCTATATTCAACGCTACCAATATTGATTAAAGAATTATGAAGTCACATATTCTCAAGGCAATTCGAACAAGGAATTTAGCCACTTTTATTTGGAGTTGTTAAAAAATATTGTCATTCGTAAACAACTAATGCTCAACTTGCTAACTTACTCGTGTTTGAGTTGTTCATCATATCAGTTATCTGAACACATAGATTTTTACTCAACCATATTTGGTTAATTAGTTAAATAATTAAATAATTAAAATTATTTTAAATTTTTAAATATTTTTTATGATTTTTTGTTAAATTTGCCACCATTTTATATCTTATAAATCATTCAAGCTATTCGAGCCGAGCAGGAGCTTCAAACAAAAAAAAGATTAAAGGGGCAACATTTTCACGCCCTCTTACCATGGAAAAATTTTAAACAAGAAAAAATGATCATTAATTTTTTCATCTTTCAATTTGTTCCCCATGATATATATATATATATATATATATATATATATATATATATATAGACACACACACACTTATTTATTTGCTTACTATATACTTAGAAGTAAGCATTCGATCGATTTGAATGTATTAACTTTCAAATTGGTCAAATGAATTGCAATTGAAATTAGAACTCTGAAAAAAATCAAACCAAAGAAAATTTTGATTAAGCTAAACCAACCAAACTGAAATTTAATTTAGCTTAAATAATTCAGTTACGAACAAACCAAAATTTAGTTGTTAGTATGAGTACAAATGTGAAAATACATTAAGATTTACGTATAATTTTGATTTAATTTCTTTTTTTAAGGTTTAGGTTTGTTTGATTAAGTGATAATTAAAATTTAATTAATAATAATAAAATTAGTTATTGAGATTTAAAAAATCAAAAACTAAAATGCAATTTTGCAACCAAACATTAAACCAAAATTTTTTGCTTTTTTAGATTTTTCGATTTTAAGCAAATAATAAAACTATTTAACCCTTCAAAATTTAAATATAACATCTTAACCACTAGTAAAGGCTTTGAGTTAGTTTGGGTGGTTAAAATATTATATTTAAAATTTTATTTAATTAAAATATTATATTTAAAATTTAATTATTTAAAATATTATTATATTCGATATTTTGAACGTGTTATATAAAAATATCTTTTTAAAAAATACAGAAAAAAAAAATGAAATTACCCTTTCACCCCTAATCACTCAACAAAAATTATGTCCGAAGCAAGAGGTGACCAGCAATCATTATTACTTTATTACGCCCTATTAAAACAAAAATTGCATTTGAAACCATTATGAGGTTTTTCCTGTACTTTTGTACTTTGCATATGTTTCAGCCTCTTGTTTAGGAATGGCAACCAATTAATTCCCGGCCAGGTTTTAGCCACTACATGCAATTACTTGCAGAATACAAAATTTATTCCACACAGATCAGACACCGCACGCATCAATTCTGACTATATATTTCGGTGGGCCCCACCTAAAATTTTAAAAAAAAAAACTGAAATAATCCTGACCGTAGATCACCGATCAGGATCGGACACCGCATGCAGAGATGCATGCAGTGTCCGTATGCAATAATTTCTGCAGCAGAATATCATTTCATGACATCCATCTTTATTCATAAATTATAATTAAGCACTAAAATATAAGTTAATTACAAATGAAACTTTGGCCAAAATCATGAAAATGAGATATAAATCATTTTAAAAAAAACATAATTCAAAGTATTTTGTGGAAGCTAAAATCAGAAGAACGTGAGAGATAGGGCTGCCAGTACGGGTCGTTGTTCAAGAAGAGCTTGTGTTCGGCTCGTTAAGAAACTCGTGTTAGGCTTGTTCGCTAAGCTAACGAGTCGAACACTAACAAATATTTGTTCGTTTGTGTTCGGCTCATTTTAGCTTGAAATACTACTTATCAATTTTTATGTATATAAATTTAATTTTATATATGTATCAATTTAATTGACTACAATGCTACAAAGATTTATAATCAATTAAAAGTATTAATTAAAAAAGTAGAATAAAAATTATTATATTCTATTCAAATGATGTTTTAATACAAACAATAATTTTTAAAATCTTGTTCCAACTCTTAACATCCTATGGCTATGTGATTATGGTTGTAAAGACAGTTTTTTATTCGTGAACAACTCGTGTTCGGCTCGTTTACAGCCATGGTGAGAGATTATAGAAAAATTATTTTATGTTGCATGGAACTTCAATCAAGGAATGCCACATGTACAAGCCCCAATTTAATGCATGGGTTGGCACGTCTGTACACGTGACAGGTCTTGATTGGAGTCCTAACACAAATCTACATCAAAACTTCTAATGCAATAATTTCTCAAGATTATAACCCTTTTTTTTGAACCTTACATTGGTCCATTCATAAAATATTATTATTATTTAAAAAAAATAATGAATGTTAGTTTAAATGATAGGAAGATTTGCATTCATTCCACTCAATTCCTATTTATTTACCTAACACACCTAAATTTAAACTTTTACATATATATACATATATATACATATATATACAAATATACCACTTTGCCCATGCATGAAATCATGCATTCCACCCTTTTTAAATGTTAAAGGTGCTATTTTTGATGTGATATAAAGGATTTTGACTGTATAATCTTAAAAAAATAAACATTAGATGTTAGATATGAATAAAAAATGGATGTTATATATGTAAATGCCCCAAAAATATAATAAGATTAATGTAATTGCAAGCTCTTAATCACTGCGTTAACAGAGCTACACTAAAGAAACTAAACAAACCATTAATCAGCAGGCAGAGCTCATATGATCCAACAATGAATTCTACTTTAATTCCAGCAGCACAGCCACAGAAATAAAAATAAAAAAAAAAAAAAAAGATTTCTGATTGAAGAAAAATGAAGCCTGAAAGGAATCTCAGATGCAAATTAGATTTTTCGAATGGGGCCATATAGATGATGGATATGGTTCACCTGCTGAAGAATCTTAATGTACACAACACAGCAGTCAGCCTGATGAGAAAGCTGCACTATCTGAGGACTACAACTCTCCAATCAATCAAATTTATAATGTTATTTTCCTATATAGACCGAATCCTAACTTTTGCTGACCTTGTATTATTAATCATGAAAATAGATGGCCAAGGTTTCTCTTTGATGTTCTTTCCCAGCTTTACTCAGACCAAATAAATAAATCAAGACCTCCAAATGAATTAAACAAGAAGCATTTGAACCACATGAAACTTCAAATCAAAGTTTTTCACAGGCAAAATAACAAACAGGCAAAATAACAAAAATCTTCTACAAAAATCTTCTTTTTTTTTTTTCTCCATAAAATCAAAAAAGGAAAAAATCTAGAGTTCTTAGCCTTCACCTGGAGTAATTTACTGTTGAGGAACAGATGGGGGCAATTTCAGCTTTGGCTGACAGATGCAATAGAATGAGATCAACACAAACTTCATCAACTTTCATCTTTAAATTCAGTCAGAGGATCACTGAAATGCAAAGGCTCGTTGCCGTGCAACGAAATAACAGTTACTCTGGTTTCTCTGAATCTAAACAAAGCAAGTCTAATTCTATTTCTGATTAAAAAACTGATTTTAGCTTTAAGCTTCTTCTTCAACTTCAATTCCACAAGAATGGTTCAAGCAATTCAAAATGCGGGGGAGTTGTCTTTGTGGGTCATGAAAACTCCCACGGCCATGAACCTCCCTCCAAGCCAAATGGTTAAATATCTCCTCATTAAACTCTTAGAAAAGGACTAATAGCTATAATATCTGAACAAAAGGTGGAGCATCATTCCTCGGCCCAACAAGGGATCGATACATGTATAACTTCCCCACAGCATCACCAGCATTATCCTCTAAATTATCCCTTATAACTTCAACAACAATTCCAGGCAACCGGCGAGCCAATTCCCTGCAACCATTCATCGAAAGCTTGCACGAAGACATCCACAAGAACCTCATGTTGTAGTAATGGTTGATCCCAGAGAGCAACCCTACGTCTCCGAACGGGCTATCTCTGATCTCCAGTTTCTGTAAATTGGGGCAACCTTCAAGCACATATCTCAGGCCCAAATCACTATCGCCGGCAAAAGCAACTGAAAGAGTCCTCACTAACTTCCCATGCAGGCCGATGTAGGCGAAGGCTTTATCGGTAAGGAGACCGGAAACAGCAAGTCTTGTGAGCTTCTTGCAATGCTTTATGATCGCCCCGAAGCCCTCATCCATGGGTTCGCCAGTCAGGCGATCGGGGCGGTGACGGCCCATAATGCAGAGGCGAAACACCACTAGCTCCGGGCAGTTCTTAGACATGGCCACAACAGCAGCATTTGTCATCCTCTGGCAGAAGTAGAGGATTGATTGGAGTTCATGGCAGCCCTCGGAGATTGCCGCCAGTCCAATATCTGAAACAAAACCTTCAGAATCTTCGCTGACATCTAAAGGAAAAACCCTCAGCTCCCTAAGCTTTTTGCAAGTCGCCGCTACCATTTGAAGGCCTTCATCACCCAGAGAATCAAGGACCTGGTACCACAATCAAGTTAATTTATTTTTTTTTTGTTGAAAAAAATGTAATTTCGATTTGAATTTGAAAGTATTCGGATTGGATACCCAGAATGTTTGGAGATTATGACAACGGGTAATGACTGGTTTAAGCTGCGCAGCGGAGATCTGTGCATAGCTAAAGTTGAGTGAGGTGAGATTAGAACATACTGGGTAGATTGTGTGCAGGTACTCAGGAGCAAGATCTCTAAAACCTGATAGACAAACTAATGAATTTGAAGATTGGAAGGCTGATTTGAGGGTTTCCTCAACATCACCTTCTTCTCCGGAAGATGAGAAGGAGCCGGTGCCAAGGTGGGTGAGCTGAGGCGCGCGGGCCATGAGCTGGTAGAGCCGGTTGGAAGAGATGTGCTCATTAACTCTCAGCCGCCGGAGAAAAGGAGAACGGGCCACTAGTGCCAAAAGAGCATCAAAGTTAACAGCACAACCAACGCAATCAAATACCAGAGATTCAAGGTAAGTATTTCCCGGAGGAAAACTAGATACCCAATCCACCACCTCATCCTCATCGTCTTCCACATCATTCTCTATCAGATCCAGCGATCGGAGATGCCTAAAAACTTACAATGAATCAATCCTCCAAGCCGAGAAACCCAAACCCAGATCCGAGCAAATCCAAAAAAAAAAAAAAAAAGTGATTTTGAAGGCGAGAATGCTAGGGTTTCACCGGATCCGAAGAAATAGGTACCTGCAATTCCCCGCAATAGCGGCGAGTCCGATGGTAGTGAAGCCGTCGCAGCAAATGAGTGAAAGGTCATGGAAAGAGGGAAAAGAGAAAGAAAGGAGAACGAGGTCTGCATCAGTGACCGTCATCCTCTTAAGGCAGATTCGCTCGAGCCAGGGGTAAGCGGGAGCCATGGTGGCAACCCATGGAGACAAACGAGCGCCCCAACCCATCGGAACTAGGTTAAAATCGGCGAAGCGAGGCTTGCCTTTCAGAACCAGAGAACGCACACGGCGGAACCGTTCGATGGCTCGTGCAGGACTGACGGCGTAGCAGTTGCCGATGAAGAGCTCGAGTCGCGTATGTGCCTCTGCGCGGTACCATGATTTGCAGACAAGGGATGCGGCGTTGCGGTCTCTGCGTGAGGTGAGGAAGCAGAGCACGTTCTCGAGGACGTTCTCAAGAACCTGGTCGGAGAAAGGCGGCGGTGGGGCGGAACCTCCGCCAGTAGAAGCAGCAGTAGCACGGAACTTCGGCGGAACGGTTCCTCCAGGATCCGGCGACCACCGTAGGTCTTTGCCCTCGCCCCCATCGCCGTTCTCCGACATCTCCAACCTCTCCTCCCTCATCGGAAGGGAAGTGGGGTTCGGTGTGTAATAAGAGAAGGGTAGGGGCCTGGCGGTTAAAAAGGCAAAAAGAAAAGAGGGATTTTTAAGGCTGATGGGATCTGAAGAGGAAAAAATGTAGGGAGTAGAGGAAGAGATGGAGGAAATCGTGGCGTTATGGGCTACGAGAGATGAAAAGAAGAATAGGGAGATTTGGTTATTTATTTGGTCACTCGACTCAACTTTCTTTTCTCTTACAGTCTTCTCTCTGCCCTCTCTAACTTGCCATTGGGATTCTCCATGCTCTTCTCACAGTCTGTGTCTCTCATACACACAACACGCAATCTGGTTTTTCTTTTTTTTTTTTATTGAAATTTCATTCATTTTAGTTCATTCAAAGTTTAAAATTATTTTGACTAATTTTTAATTAAAATACATGATTTAATGTTTCTCTTTTTTTATTAATAAGCATAAATGTATTTGAAATGGGATTTAGGGTATGTTTGACATAGCTCCAAACTAAAAAAATTATAGTTTAATCACCCAAAACTTTCACCCTCATTTGCATCGCCTCGTGCTATGTAAGCTCTCATCTTCCTCCATCTCTCCTGTAGACAGGGATCATAGTAGTGAGCTATGGTCCGACGAATGTGATGTCAAGACAGGGAGGAGCGTAAATTTTGAACCGAGTTGCAACAATATTTAGCTTGAGAGGGAGGGTTTAGGGTATGTGGATCAATTAGACCGTGGACGGGGTTCTATGCATTGTGGGAAGGATAGGGAGGTTGAGCTTTTTGGTGATCGCCATGGTGTTCTTCTCACTCTATGTCTAGGCTGTCTGCTGTCATACGTGTGGAATTGTGCTATTTATAGCTCAATGATGAGTAATGAGTAGCTTAATTTCTTCCTTTTTGTTTGTCAGCTATGATGCAAATTAAGAAACATCGTTAGAAGGAGAACGAAGCAGGTTGAGTGGCGAGAGAGGATGCGGGAGAACTGTGATCGAGGTGGTTGTTTCAAAAGGCCATAAGTTTATGGTGGTCAAAATAAAAATTTTAAAAAAATGTGATCTAAATATTATATCTAAAGTTTTAGGTGGTGTTTTATGTAAAAATCTTTTTTTTATTTCAAAAAATGTAGCTTCTTGCTAAAATCTTTTTTACAAAATGACAAAATGCAGCGCGACACAGCACCACTGACACATCGTTGCCCCAAAGGCGATCTTACATAGTGTTTGGTAGCATCATGTTTAATGAATTTGGCCATAGATTTAACTTAAATCCAGCCAAAAACCCAAAAAAATAAAAAAATTAATCCAACGCTTCATTAAATCAAATTTTCTCACGTTCATTATTTTTCTGCGCTTGTTCTATCACTTATATAATCTTTATTATAATAAATTCAAAATTATGAGACAAATTTATTCGACCATCATTCACAATCAAAATCTTTGATGTGTGGATATGATACATCCAAATTAATTGAATTTGATAAATTCTATTTAACTCAAATCAAAGTTGCTCCCAAACACTCTCTTAGTCTTTAAATTTTGAATATAATTTTTTTTTTATCATTAAACAAAAAGTAAAAAAAAATTTATAATAATCTTAATTATGATTAGCACGAACATTAACGCGGATAAGGTTTTAATTGGCTCTAAGCTAGATTTTAGTTAATCAGATGTTTAAGATGGAATCCTAATAGGACAAAAATTCATAAGTATCAGATAGAAAGAAAAGAAACGGCAGTTAAATTTCCTTCAAGGAATGAGTACCGCTACACTGATCGGATAAATTACGTCTTTTTTTTTTCTTTTTTTTTTATGGGTCATAATCCGTTTCACGTGAACTAATTTTAAAGAAAAATCATTTTCATGGAATAAAATAATTTAATAAATGTCATCAAATTTATAAAAATTTACATACATGCCACCTTGCTATAATACAAGTAAAGATGCATTTTATTTAAGTGATTTATCATAAATATTATGAAATTATTTATTTATTCTCAACTATAGTCGGCTCCATGTCAAATTTGAGTGAGTTGAATTAAATTTAAATTAAAAAAAAAATAGTTCATATAATTTAAATTTTGCATTAGGAAATACTATACTAGTGATATATGTGTGTAGTTAAAAATAATTCAAGCAAACGATACATATATATTAAAAGTGTCGAGTTCCCAATCCTGTTGGTTGTGTATGTTTCGATGGTATAAGTCCTCTTTGTATTGGAGTTTGAATCCTCCCAGGTGATTGACGTTATAAGAGGGTGGTACTCGAGTGGTTAGATAAATGAGTTTAACTCAAATCAGACGGGCTGCGAGCCTGGAGTGGTAGGCGGTTCCTTAATATTATTTCATTTATAGTCACCAACACATTTTAACAAATCAAGTTAAAAAAAATAACTTCGCACCACAAAAATTTTTAAAAAATAATAAGAATATAATTTATTAAATAATGATTTTAAAAAATAGACATAAAATTATCCCAAATAGGCCTTTAATTGCAATAAAGGTTAAGTTAGTTTTGGTGTTCTAATAATTAAATTTAAATCTCTTTCCAAAAAAAGAACTACTTTAAAATAGCTGTTTATTTGGTTTATGTATAAAAAGAGTAATGATAATATTTAGTTAAATCATAGAATTTTAATGAAGGACAGGCTGATGAGAATCTTCAATGATTTGGGGCATGGACTTTTAGGCAGATCCATCGGTGATTATACACGTTGTATTTTTTTTCTCTACAGTCAGCGATGCATAGGATTTAAGATTTTTTGTCAGACTCAATGATTTTGTGATTGAGGCCCACCCCTTCCCCACTTTGTAATTTTGTTAAATAAAATATTGTAAGAGGACATCAATAATTAAATAGCGAAATAATGTGAACTTATATAAAGAGTACTATTTAACCATTATGTAAATTAATTTCATATAAATATATGGTAAGAAATCATAGGTTTTAGTAAGTATACGTTTGATTTTTTCTTGTAATGTATGAGTATTAACTTGATTTTAAGCTTTTTTATGATGAAGCATTAACTATATTTCATTAATAACTTTGGATATGCATTTTGTTTTTTTATTAAGTTATTCATAAACCTTGATCTACTCATGATAACAACCCAAAAATGAATTATTAAAATTTTTAAGATTGATACACAATTAATAAATTCTAATCGTCTGACACGAAGCTTGAGATAAATTTTAAGTAAAAATACTCAAATTTTGATTAAAAGTCATCAAGAACTCTAATTTTTGCTGGACGAGACGGACCCAACAATATCAAAATTTATCCATAATAAGTCAAATCAATCATATATCAAGATATTAAACTACTTTTTATAAGCTTTCAATGCATAATTAGAAGGTCAAACTAATTCTAAAATCTAACATGTTTATAGTCAAATCGAGTGTATCGATAAGACAAATTTAACTAACCTAAAATCACTTAATTTTGAAATCATTAAGACCCTCAAATGTCTATCGAACACTGTCTAATCGGATCTCTTTGGGTCATCCAATCAGAGTGGTTCGGATGTTTTCCTTATTTGCAACATGAACTATCCTATCCCCTTATGAGAAATGGACTAAAGCTTCGGAAAGATAAAAGCCAGAGCTTGGAGAAAAGGAAGTTGGAGTCTAGGATCCTGCACCGAAGATTCGGTGAACACCTTCTACAGCAACCAACCATCATCGATCATTGCTCATCGATTGTCGCTGACCTTCATTGGTCGTCGCCTACTCCTTGCAACAAAGCACTGCGTGAAGCAACAACTGATGATGCAGAATCATGATGCATTATCCTGAACGTCGTGTCTACACAAAGGACGGTACACTGAAGCTCCAGCTGTCACTTCCTGCTGCAACCGCTCCCTACTGTGGAACAATGAGCTCTTCTGCAAACTGAAATTTTAACTCGAGAAATTGTGTAACACTTTCATGCATATGGGAGGGTTTGTATCTGTAATTACTAGCTTAGAGTGAAATATTTCAACTTGGTTAGTCCCCATGATTTTTACTCATTTTTTGTGTTTCCACATAAAAAGTTTCGTTGTCCCCACTGGCTATCTTCTTTCTTCTTAGTGTGTTGGATTCTTATACAACGCTAAGATGATAATTAATTACTCTACCACCGTAAATTCTCTGGAATGCATCAAAGATAATGAGAAAGGTGATAAAGGAATTGTATAATGTTCTCTTATAAGAATATCACAATTATACAATCATGTTTAATATATAATTGTATTCTTTGGCGACATCATGATTAGTGATTCACATTTTTAAGCATTTTAGCTATATGACTCCATTACAACTCAAATGTAAGAATTTAGATCCCTTTATGCTTCAACGTCAAGTTTTTATATTTATTGATCCAACCAGCATAGCGGGTTGCTTTCATGCTCTATTGCTCATTGTGAGGCCAACCCACTTAGCTCATGAAAAGTTTTTGATAGTTGTATAACATCAACCCTGACTCCTTGAGTGCATGTGTAAATGATTTTCTAGTTTCTTTCAATCAAAATTTATTTGATTTTTCTTAGAAAAATGCTTGTTTATATCTGACAAACTTTTCTTGTTGAACCAAAACATAATGAAACACACATGTTTATAGTTCTCTTCATATTCAAACAGCCACCATTTTAAAAGATGAGAACCCTTACCCTTAGTGGCAATATACCTCTTATAAATGATGTCATTACAATATTTAATAGAATATAATGTCTTGCACCTATAAAAATGGGTTGATTTAATAAATATAAAGAGGAACACTAGATGTATTACATTTCTTATATACTATCGAGAGATAGTGAAACAAATGTGATATATTCTCCTAACAATAATTTTGAATTCATCCAATTGGATAAAATTGGGGAATTGACTTCATCTTAAGGCATAGCCTTTTGACCAAACTCAGTGAGAATAGATTAGTTTGACCCTCTGAGTCATAGTTGTGAAAATTTGAGATTATTTTTTTCTATGTGGACATTGGTTTCTTTCATTTACTATCAATAGAAGATTGATTGCATTTTTTTCCCCCCTTCTTTTGCTTGCCATGAAACATATACTTACATGACCAAGCTTATTAATAGAGAAGTGCAATAGCTCATTTGATATTTTATAATATATCCTACTATCATTAATGCTTATAACTTTGAATTTTCTCATATAATATTATATGGTTTGAACATGTTGTTTCAAACGTTGTGATGCTTTCTACGTGATTCTATTTTATATCACCACGAATTATAATTCTTTGGAAACAATTTTCTTAATCTCCCAAAAGTAATATTATTTTCTCATTTCAAATATGGATACACTACCAAATTAGTATGTGTTTAACAAATTTTAGATGAGCAAGTGAAATGCTCATAAATTTTGTTAATCCAATTATGTGTTAAGCTCCTTTATGGAGGTAGCACTGTCAAAAGTAGTGATATCATTTTATTTTTAATTTTTGCTTCTATATTAAGGGATTAGAGCAGTCCTTTAGCCAAAGTTTAAAAATCATATTTTATGAGTTATCTTATTTTCTACCAAAACTTCAATTAGCTTCCCATTAATGTGGATGTGAGTACCTTATATGAGATCAATATATTTTATTTTTTGTTTCATAATTCATCATCAAAATCTACTTGCTCAATGTATATATTATCATAATATTCTATTATTATATGAACCTAATTGGTTTGTCCAAGTAGTTGAATTTTATTACATGCATTACCAATATATCAGATTCCTATTATCTTTTTTTCTTTTAAGATCTACAATAAAAAATAGTTCTCTTTTTTTCTTATATATGCTCTTTGTTAATATCATCAATTAGAGTTCTTTTTAAATTTTTTTAGTTACATAAAAAATATAGCTAATGAATATTAGTAAAACCCCAAAAATAGGATCTAATCCAAATTTTGAGTAAATATGCATAATATGAATGCTACTAATGTAGATTTTTATTTTTTTATCAAGAAAAATTAAAGTTTCATTAAATTTACTATATCTAATATGTATTTAAGGATCTTAGTTATGTTGATTTTTTTTTACGTACAATCTTATTATTATTATGAAAAATTGCAAAACATCCTAAACATTTTATATATGGACATGAGGTATTTGTGTTATATTATTCATTTGGACATATAGATTTTTTACATATAACTCATAAATAATGACATGAGGTATTTGTGTTATATTATTCATTTGGACATATAGATTTTTTACATATAACTCATAAATAATGACATGAGGTATTTGTGTTATATTATTCATTTGGACATATAGATTTTTACATGTAACTCATATATAATGCGGAGACTTTTATATATATATATATATATATCAGCGCGACA